AATTCAGCAATTTTACCAGGAAAGTAATGGTACAAGATCTCTCTGTTCGATGACGTTCGATAATATAAACAAACTAGGATATTTTGTTTAGGTGATGTTAATGAAAATAGGACACAACATTGTTACTAGAGCTGGCTAAGTTGTTGGTCAAAAATGTGGGCATTAAAAYCTTAATACACGTCTAGTTGATAAAGTTTTTGCATTGTTATGGTCAAGCAGCTAACAACCTAGTYTCCCTCACAGCCGACTTCAGTGTCGTCACGCAACGCTTTCAGGGGAAAAAGCGTTGCGTGACGACACTGAAAGCAGCTGTGAGGGAGACTACGACCACTTTGGTTAGCAACGATAAAACAAACCTTTTCTGAATTCGCTGGAGTGACAACGAAACAATGACTCCAAGTCGAGGTCGTACTTGATGTGTTCATACATGTACTGTATTTTATTAAATCCAACCTCGACATGGAGCATTTGTTTTGTGGTACTGTAACTCAAGACATGAGAGATGAGGCGGTAAGCCGTGTGGGATGGGCTCGATACAGGCCGAAACAGCTGTCCACGGTTTCTAATTGAGCTGGCTCATTATTTATGCGACTTGAAGTTGTGAAAGGCCCATTGGCCCTCTTCTTCAGTCGTTTCATTCAAGGCTCGTAATTTACCTATTACGTTTGTTCTTATAACTCAAGGCAGTGAGGGAGATATCTCCTCATCACACCTCCCCGCTAAAGCGAATTCGGGAAACCCATATTTATATAATATAAAATGTCTTTCATTTCTTCCAAGGAATAAAATTTCTTTGATTACTCTTATTTCTGATATCTAAGGAGCTACCAACGTGCTGGTGCACAAGTTATGCCAGCTTGCCAGAATTAATTACTGCAGCAGTATTAGCATAASAAAAGCATGTTGGTAAAATTGTTGACTGCACTGAGCAAAGTGGCTCAATATTAAGGGACGAAACATCGATCGAACAGTACAAAATGTTTTGTAGCTGCATATTGCATTTACAGATTGGATAAGATTATGTACCGATCGCATATTGCATATGCACACTGCATAATCTTTTGTAATGCATATTGCCAATCCCATGTTTCGTCAAAGCATAGTGGTGCATGCTTTTCGTATAGCAGTATTTTCAACAGCGATATTCATACAAGCTCATAAAAGGGAAATTTGAAAAATAAATTCTAGACTTCCACAGCTTAGAATGGGAATATCTTCTTTGAGTAAATATAATTTTTTTTTAAACAAAACTTATTATTGCTTGCGCCAAGAAAAGTTTAAGAGGTTAGATCCAACAGATCCAAAAGAGAGATTTTTGCAACCGCTTTGTTACAAACCTAATCAATTTCTCTCCCCGCCTCCGAGATTGTACGTCAATACTTTATCAGATATTATCTATCTAACTTAGGTATGTGTGATATTAAATTAATGTGGAAAAAAATTGTTCTACTTTATGTTGTTTTCAACCCTTCAATTTTTATCGATAGCCACGAGAACCAATCTCGTACCCAGAGCCTGCGTTTCTTCTGGCCTGCGGCGTAGAACGAGGGCTCTGGCATAATCCATTTTTAGCGCATGCGCAATTTCTCGGAAGTAAAATATAATCAATGGCAATCATGATTTAAAATAGATTTCTGTGTTTACTTCTGATCAAAATAAAAATTAGGAATCGGGAACATATTTTTTATTTTTGGCAAGTCTTTGAACGTATGCCCTCATATCCTGGTCTCAAAAAATGGATTATGCCAGAGCCCTCGTTCTTCGCCGCAGGACAGAGGAATCGCAGGCTCTGTATACGAGATTGGACGGGAAACGAAAGCGCCTCACAGCGGCTGCGCAGGAGGCTAGAAACAATAGTAGCTACTTGTAATAATAGTGTTAAGAGCGCCGGGGATAGCCGAACTGGTCCCTCGAATGAAGAGGGAAACCTAGTAATAATAGTGATAAGAGCGCCGGGGATAGCCCAACTGGTCAGATTCTAACTACCTGAAGATAGCTTGTTTTACATGTTTATAATCAACAAAATGTTCGGTAATCTTTGACAGCATAAACCCGAGTTTCAAGCCCAAGGGGAGGGGGCCTTAGACTCAGGTTATGACAGCGTAGGAGTAAGAGAAATGATAGACATGCAGTGGTGTAGTGTGTAGAATGTGCTTTTGCCAAAAGGGTTGGGGAGGGAGTGAACAGAAAATCTAAAGAAACCCTAGAAGGAGAGGCGGAATCAACTAACACCCCTATACATCAAACAAATTTTTAAGTTCTAAACTCTCTTTACATGTGGCCGCCGCAAAAATCGAACCGCGACCCGATCCGTAGGATTTGTAGTGTCGAAAAAATAAGCGAAAGTTGTAAACTGTACTAGCTATGAAGAGATTCAGGTTTTATTGCATTTAGTTAAGGTTACAGGTGTAATTCTTTAGAATAAAGAATACTATTCAGAAATTTTGACATAAAGTAGTGTGTTAGGTCTGTAAGTGTGGGGGAAATTCGTAAAAAGAGATGGTTTGCCTTCGTTACAAAGACCGTCATAATATAGCCAATTGCTATTGTACTTGAAGATACAGGTGTAATGTTCGTATTTGCCGCTTCTTAGGGTTACTGCCTGCAGTTCGTATCTGAAATAAAAAAAGGCAAATAAAAGGATTAATGAATTACTAATCTTGCCTCTATTCATGTTCCCCTACTCAAACAAGACGCCCTATAGGCGTTCACTGGGTTGCCTGTATCATGCGCAGAGGCCTAGTACAGCTGAAGAGGTTTGCAGTGTTAGTCAAAAGATAATGGAATGTTTCAAAGAAAATAATGATTTCGTTTAACTGGTCTAATTAAGACGAACTTCTCCCTTAAGGAGTTCTCTACATAATTGCAGGTTCTGCCCTGTTTTAGACCACGAAATAAACAGTTTTGCGTTATATATGTCACACTACTTGTGAATTTGATCTTGCACCATAACGCAACTAGATCAAATATCCCAATGTTCTAAGTCAGAATCACCAATTGATTTTCTTATCTTTTTACCATCCTTTGTTATTATATTATTTACTGGGGTGGCTGTTTATATTCCTTGTCAAAAAAGGCAGAAGTTGCGCAATAGTACCCAGAAGTCTTCACGGCACCACCATCCTTTGCGGGCATATAATGATCCAAGTGCAGTAAAAATATTCTTGTCAGTAAACTTTGTCAAGAAAGATAGGAAAGCAAAGGTCTACTTTTCGCGGATCGATATTGCTT